ATCAACGCATTTTTTTATTTCAAATCTTTGATTCTTGTACATTAAGTATCGCATTAATTACGTTCAAGGTAAAAATTTTCTGAACATTCTGTGCAGATATTAAAGTCATTGCAAGCTTTGCACTCCAATTTACACGGCTTACATATAATACTCCCATAATATCCATAGGGACATTGTTTCAAACATTTATTCTAATAGATGATTAAATCACATTCTTTAACACAGTCATACCCTCTTTCGTATGTATTTGGAGAGCATTCTGATTAACATGCATAATAAATTTTATTTTAATAGGGAAGTGCTGTTGGGCATGCCACTACACATTCTCCTTTATATTAATAATAAGGTTCTTCACAATTTAGACATTCATATTAATTCTTACAAACTAAACATCTCTCTGGGCATTAGTAGCAAATAGAATCTATTAAAATAGTTTTAAAAGGGCAGTCTGCAATGCATGTTTAAAGATATATATATGTATTTGCTGGACAAGATGCAGAGCATTGATCAATATGAAGAAATGTTCCTTCTGGACACAATTATTCACATTTATTTAAAACAACATTGTAATAGTATGGGCAATAATTACTACAACTTCCATCATTTAAAAACGATCCATTTGCACATTTATTACAACCAAAGGAATCGCATTCAAGACAATTCTAAGAGCAATCGTAGCAAATGAAATTTGAATCGTATGTTCCCAATGGACAGCTTGATAAACAGGTGTTAGAGTACATGTATAAACTACAAATCAAAACACACTTATTTCCATCCAAAAGAAGATTTCGGGGACAAGATATAACACAAGATCTATCTACATCATTATATAAATAAGGACAAGTAAGAGTACATTGTTAGTCATGCAAATAATAAGTTTCTTCGCAAACTAGGCAATCATTATTTGATGGACCAATACATGATGAGCATGATACGTCACAATCAAGACATTCTTAATTATTCTAGAATGTATTATTTGGACATGTATCCATACAGATATTTGAATGATAATAAAATACTGGATTTGTGGGACAGTTTTCTAAACATTAATTTTGATATTCAAATAATGGTGGATCACATTAGGAGACACATGCATGATTTTTATAATCTGTTTTACCAATCAAACAGCTCAATTAACACAATCCATTTTCCAAAAAATAATCTTAAACACATGCAGTGCAATTTGTTGCTGAAGTACATTCTTCGCATGCCTAAGGGCAATTCGTACAGAATTTATTCTTAATATACATTCCTTTAGGACAAGAACTTACACATTAATCATTAAATTTATAGCCTATAACACAATCCTCAACGCAACTTCTTTTGTCATAGGATTCTTAATGATAAAGTTAGGGTGGACATTTAGTAACGCAAGTCTACGTTGTTGAATCCATATATAGATATTTATTAATACAAGTATTTGAACAGGTTTACAAAGTTAGATAGTAGTTTTTAATACATGCTTAACATACATTTTGGGATGTGCATTTGCTACATTTACTAGTGCATTAAATGCAACTATCTCCATTTGAATAATATCCATCAGGTGGAGTTATCAAACATTTTTTAATACATTTTAGGTATCCAGTTGGACAAGTTTTCACACAACTTTTGAAATCAGTTAATTCGTACTTTGTACCACAATTGCTTACACATTTTTAAGCCTCGTAATCATATAAGTCTGGACAAGTTTTTGTGCAAGTATTACCATTTAATAAGTAATTTTCTATGCAAGAATAACACTAACTTACTAAAGGTCCATTACAAGACCTACATAAAGAATTGCAAAGTAAACATTTCTTTTCTGATGTTGATTTGTAGGTATATGTTGGACATGTTGCAACACAAAGTTAACCATACAAAAAATTATTTACATCACAATTCGATTTGCAATATTAACCTTATATAACAGTAATGGATGGACAAGATTATTTGCAAGTTCTATCTGTTAAGTCAGTGTATAATTATGATGGACAAGTCGGGGAACATTTTTATTAATATAAATAGTTAGGGGATTCACATTATAAACAATTTCCATTTATAGGTCCATAGCATTCTTTGCAATTAGAATCACATGAATAACAAATTCCTGAAGATATATAAGATTTAGAATAGCATGAATCAACACATTCTTTTTTACCATTTAATTTGTAAATAGATAAGAAAGTTGGACAAGGGCTAAAACAGATTTTTTTAGCTAAATACAAATAATCTGGGCAAGTTGAAACACAAGTTTAATTAGCTAGGTTGGCATAAGGTTTTGTATCTGGACATACTTCAACAAAAGTAGTATCAGCCAAGTAATATCCAGAATCACATTGTGTGCATTGGTTAACTTATTCACCATAACACACACTACAAGGTCCTGCATATGAAGTGCAAACTATTCCGTCAGGAAAAGTTTGAGCAGGACATGCAGGGACGCAAATATTCGAATAATAATATCCAGGACAAGTGTTTCTACATGCTAAATTCCCACTAGGTAAGGTTTGCATGTAAGTTCCAGTTGGACACGATTTAGCACATCTTCCATTAGTCCAATCTTAAACAATATCTGGATTCACATTACAGACATCTGTACATGTTGATACACCTTGCAGAAAATATCCTTATATACATGTGATACATGAATTGATGATTCCATCAGTACAAGTGGCACATCCAAGAGAACAGCCATAACAGTAAAATGTAGTAACTTGGTTGTATGTTCCTTCTGGACAACCAAATTGATAACATTATTTGTCAGCATCATAGATGTAATAATTATCTGAACAACTTTCAACGCAATATCCATCTTATTAATAACTGGTACAAGTTACAACACACATATTATTAATTGTATCTTTATAAGGAATATCCACAGGACATTCAGTAGAGCAAGTAGTATTGTATAAATATGATCCTGGATTGCATTCATAACAAGTAGTTGAATAGGAATCAAAACATGTTTTATATACTGCTGTGCATTTATCACATAAATTATAATTAGTCTTTTGTTTGCAGTAAGTTCCATACTAGGCTAAGAATCAGTACATTAGTTCTTATATTAGTATTAACTATATAGGCATGTAGAGGAACAAGATGTTACTAGTATATGATTTGTATTAATAAATTAATAGCCAGATGTAGTGTATGCATTGCTTGGACAAACATCAACACAAATCCAATTTAACAAATCATAAAACTTAGTATTACAATCTAGTACACATTAATTATTTAACAAAGATGTTTAATCATAACAAGATAAACATTAATTACTTTAAGAACCCAGAACAAGTCTTGCATTTATAATAGCAATTATAACACTAAAAGCCTATGCAATATGCTCCAATCAGAGGAGGAGACTGATAGCATTGAGTATCGAGTACATAAGTAAATTAAGAAAATATATGCCCACAAAATTTGACACAGGCCTAAATAATATTGCCAGCAACTTTGTCATTGATAGTAAATCCGCTGGAGCACGATCCTTCGCACTGATTATTGATATAATTTTTAAATTTAGAATCGCAAGAAACGAAACAACTATTATCTTAAAGAAATTTATCTGGCCAGCATTTAGTACAAAATGTTGCTGAGTTTTAACAATTTTAACAAATAGGGTCACATTTAGCACATTAATTTGTGTTTTATTGAGCATAATATTGATCTTCACATGGATACACACAAATTAGAGGTTTAGTTTAGTGTAAATAAGTTTATTACTTCTTATTAATCTAAATGGAGCCACATTTAATTTTGAAGCATTGTCTAATTTAATATCCATCAATATTAGCGTTATCATATACATAATCAGATGAATCACAATTAATTAAACAGACACTCACACCATATTCATCAATATAGAGATATTGTGGGTAGCACGTGGTAGGACATTTATTTTAGTTTAAAATATAATGATTTAGACAACTAGTACAATATGTATAACTTGTGCATGTTTAGCAAACTTAAGGACAATTAGCAAATATAGTTTTTGGTTGTGAAGAATTATACTAAGTCTCTATGAAATTATCTGTAACTTGAGTTTATTGTAAACATTATGTGTTATTATAAATAGCATAACCATTTGTACAAGACTTCACACATTCTAATCCCTATGTTAAATATGGTGGTGGACATTCTAATTCACAAACCATAGTATCTCGATTATTATATTTAAATAAACTAAGAGTATTACAATCACTAACGCATTTTGTGTCATAAGGACTAAAGAATTTATTATCATAACAGCCCAAGCATTGAGTATCTTTTCCACCAAAACAATATTTACAGGATTAGTCGCAATCATTATATGTTCGAGAATACCACTATCTATTGTTATGCCATACACATATTTAGTACTGACCACTTTATTCTTATTCATTTAGACAATAATAACCAATATTTTTTTCGCTATTATTGCAACTATTCGCACTATTACACTAGTATTTAGGATTTGAATTTGTATTAAAACAACTGTAGTTGTAAAAATATTTTCCCGGACACTTTTTTAAGCAAACTTGATTTTACTAAAATCTGTTATTTAGAGTACATGTACTTTGACAGGTATTTTATTCTGTTAAGTAGTTATCAGTTTTGCATTTATAACATTTTTTATAGAATTAAGCCTACTAGCAATTATTTTATGAATCTTTTTGGCAATAAGCTGCACTATTCTAAATGTTAAAATCTATTTTACAAAGTTTGCTCTATTCAATCTTGTTATTTATTGGATTCGTTATGTTTCTTTTGCAAAATATTGCATTAGAATCTGAGCAATTATATGGAGAGAATAAAGGATTAATTTATTAGCATTAGCCGTTTTATAATTAATAATTATCTGCACAATTTATACAACCTGATCCTTATTGTCTAAGACAATTCTAGATTGCTATAGGAAAACAACCACTCTATGTTTCTTTAAAGCCAGCTGTACAATTATAGATAATTATATCATCATTTGGATCTTGCTCTTTGCAATAATGAGTATTAGGTTAACAGAATGCACAAAATGCTCCAACAAATAATAAACAATCCCCTCTGCCTGTTTAAATTCCATACCCTTTGAATATTCTGATGTCTTAAATATCAATCATTTCTGCTCCAAAATTACCAGTAGCTGTAGGTCCCAATATCAATCTTTTAAATGCAATTACGTTGTTAATTGTTTTCTATTATACCTAATTGTCATCAATATACACTGTTAATAGTTTTTTTTAATTTGTTGGTATAAAATTAGCATCATAACTTAGCTCCAAAACACCAGCTGTCACATGAGCCCAAGTGCTATCGGTTAGTAAACCTAATGCGGAATTACCATAATTTTAATGAAATTATAATTTATAGTCAAAATTGACACCAAAACCTAGGCTTACTTGTTTCAATACATCATCAGTCAAAGAAATAAACTAAAAAAGCGATACTATATTTTATGGTTTAATCCAAAACATCATAGTTAGGGAAACTAGATCCTCCATAAAAGTGTACACAATTTGTGTATTCTTAAATAACAGCAATCCAATAGAATCACTATAAAATATTGGGTTTGACTATTTTCTAAGATTTACATTCATATATTAATCGGATACATTAAGACCTTTGAGTTGATAAGGCTTTAAAAAGAATTTCAATTCTAAATCATAGTCCAAATAAATATCTGAATCCATTGTTGTCCATCCGTTGATATAATAGAAATTAGCAATATTCACACATGCCTTGTAATCATTAGAAGACTTATATAATTACTCATTTGTTATTCTAGAATGTACCCCAAAATTATATTTTAATCTAATTATAAAGAAATTACTTACTTTTAATTCACTAGAGTATCTTGAATCGAATTCATCTTCCAATTATATGTTGAAAAAAATTTCAAATTGATAAAAGTATTACTTGTGCTCTAATCTATAGACACTACGATATGATACCAACTGTTGATTTAAAGATCCGTATACCTTGAATATTTATAATTTATACCGTGTTAGGTTAAGGATATCTGAAGTATATTTCGAATTCGATAATGTTAGATTATAATTTTCTGCAGAGGATTAGTAATACAACATTAAATTAAGATACTAATATAAATTAATAGTTTACAGGATTATTTGTGTTACCATCGACAAATGCAAACAAAATTTACCTTCCAGTCAATTTCGGTTTTTAGTATATGTTTATCCATAAGGTATATGTAATCTTATCAAGATTTACCAGATTTTCAGATTATGAAAGGGATTCATAAAAGTACTAGCTTCCCACAAAGCCATTATCTCCTACAATATATTAAATTTTTAAAACTTTCGTTTATTTACATGCAGTTCATATATAATGGCTTCGCTCCTTAAAGTTTTAATCTTTCAGCTTGGTTTAGTAAAGGTAATAACAATAAAATTGTTTTTATTAAAAAAAACATATTAATATAATTAATTATCAACGATTATGCCTTGCCATTTAAATTCTCATCCTGTATTTCATACTCGTATCTTTATTATATACCTACAATAAATACTAATTAAAATTTTTATATATTAAATTCTTAATTAAAGTCAATAAAATCTTTAACTCAATTTCACTTTCTAGGACAATATAAATAATTTTAGTTTAGACAACGCTGAAATAAATCAAGTTGTAAATTAAGCAATCAATTAAAGAAATCTCTCTAAAATTAACAGTTTAAGGGTTCTGAAAAAGAAAATTGTACTATTAAAATAGATAAACTCATTTACTCTTAACTAGTATTAATCAATCATTATTAAATGTGAGCGGCCATTCATATGCTGATTTACATAATTGTTTGTTCAAACGCATTCAATCTGAAACAACTAGCCCTTTTACAGCCTATTAATAAAGAAAGTGTTTTCTTTTTTCAATAGCAATATTAAAAACCGACAGAATTATATATACTTTTATATTATTAATTATATATATTTAATTACACATGTATGGCTATTAGGTTGAAACCCGACCCTAATGATTCAAAGAAGAAACATAAGGAAAACATAAATGACACTACTTTAAAGATTTGAAACCTTAGAAAAACAAATAATAGGTTTCTAAAGTAGGAGAGAATTTGAAAGATAATATAAAAGTATAATATAATATTGATATTAACAATAAATTTCATGATATAAAATTAAATGAAAAACAATCTATTAGAAGAATTGAAAAACAAGGGGATATTACAAGAGAAGCACTAAATATATAAATTATATTACTGTAAAAAAATAAAATTGAGGGAAAAACGATGATGTAATATTTTGAAGGTATTCAACAGTTAATTTATTACATTATTAAAAAAAACAAAAAAATAGAAAATAGAAAATGATTCAGGATATATGAAGGAATGATATAAGAACCTAATGTGACTAGGATGAAATTGGATTATTAAAAATAATTTAAGAAATATCTAGAATTCTAGGGATATATTGTTTGTTAGAACTTTATGAATAATTTAATGAGATGATAGTTAAGCTGAATTAATGAGAAAGTTGAGATGAGATAGGATGAGAACTCTAAATTTTAAGTTAAAATTAATAATGTGAAAAATCATTGATTACCGAAATGAATAGAAAAAAATAGTTGAAATAAAATTTAGAAAGTAGATAATGAGGTTGTGGTATATAAAGGTAATCATTTATAATTTATAATTCTTCCATATTTGAAAATAAGATGGATAAAGTCATAAGATATAATAATTTTATAATTTCTATGTTTGATGCCATAAAGTTTAAGATATTGATTAAAGGAAGAGGATATTTATATTTAGAATAAGGATAAAATATGTATTTTTAATAATTTTTTTTAATTAATGAATGATAGGGTGGGAACAATATTTCATTGATAAATTTATTTTTCCCTTTTCTTTAATGAAAAGAATATATAACAGAAGTTGTTACAGGTAATATTTATATCAATAACCATCCTACCTTTATAGGAATATAATTAAGGATAAACTTTGATCTAAAAGGCTAAAGAATTAATTTTTAAATTTATTTGGAAGTTATGGATGATTCTTAATTTTAAGGCATATTTATGATTAATAAAAATTATTAGATTTCAATTAGGTTTTATTTATTCTTAAAATAATTCCAAGAATATCTCTAGTAGAATTGGATAACACGTTGACAATATTTTTATAAATTAAATAAAAGAATTATATGCAATTTAAATATAAATCAATACTTTTATCGATCTAAGTTATTTGCC